TATCTGTTTGCTCCCAAAATAGAAACAGTAACTTTAAAAAGTGTTAATTTTCTATTCATGCTATTACTAAATTCCTGAGGCAGTGAAAATTTTCAGCAATTTCAATACAAATCCACATAAAGATACAAACTGAAACTTTGGCATAATTTCATCCACTGCTTGAATATTCACAGCAATGGAATTTAAAACATCATTCAACAGAATATAGAATTATAGAATCATAGAATCATTAAGGTTGGAAAAGATCTCTAAGATCATCAAGTCCAACCGTTAACCCAACACCACCATGCCCACTAAACCATGTCCCTAAGCGCCTCATCTACACGTCTTTTAAATACTCCCAGGGATGGTGACTCTACCACTTCCCTGGGCAGCCTGTTCCAAGGCCTGACCACTCTTTCAGTAAAGAAGCTTTTCCTAATGTCCAGCCCAAACCTCCCTTGGCGCAACTTGAGGCCATTTCCTCTCGTCCTATCGCTAGTTACTTGGCAGAAGAGACCAACCCCCACCTCGCTACAACCTCCTTTTAGGTAGCTGTAGAGCACAATGGTCTGTGTCCTTTTTAAACAATTGTACCTAGTGGAAAATTAAAAAAAAAGATTAAAAAAAAAACAACTGTGCATTTATTTTTTTTTACAGTAGACTACCAGAATTTGTCCAAATAGAGATGCGACATCAAAACAAATAGAACACTTTGTTTTTTTTTTAAATCTTGGGACAGCATGTTTTTACTTAGCTTCAGTTACTGAAGCAATTAATTAATATTGACTTAACGTCTAACTCAAACAAAGAAAAAAACCTCAACAAACAAAACAAAGAAAACTAGCCAGGACTTTCCCAGTGTTTTCTACAAGTTCTTGAGGTGGGCTTCTTCCCTGGGGTCTCCATCTCTATTAGAAGCGATCTATCCAGCAAAGCACTGACGTATATCTCACGCTCTACCCGACTACGCAAACAACCGCAGTACATTCTTGTGTCTATTGAGATCACTCAAACTTAAATGTGTGCTTAAATTAATTTCTCTGTGGATTCCTTAGTAAGCAAACCACATGAATGCTACTATTACGCTCTTTAGCATTTATGAGGTGCTAGAATTTGTAATTATCATTTCTGAGGGCCTTGATTTTCCACTGTTAGCAAACCTTCAGCAGTACAGACTGATTATGTAGTACTAGCGGATCATCACAACAGAGCAATATAGAACAAATGTATAAGGATTTTAAAAATGTGTCTAATGTATACTCTTTGTCATTAGAGAAACAAAAAATTAAGCTCCTATCTTGTAACTTCCACATATGTTACTCTAGAGCCATTTGAAGATCTAATTTGCTACATCTTATTAAAATCATGTTTGAGCCCACAAGAGTTATTTCACACCTTGCATAAGGCAGGTACCTTGGCCCATCCCTTGGATAACAGCACTTTAAAACTTACCTGGGAGAGAACAGACAGCATACAGCCTCTCCTGATTCACTGAGCTATTGTTGGCATTCAAAGAGAGCAAGTGGCAACAAGATAGCTCTAGAAACGGAGTAAAGCTGTAGGCCATGCATTCCCTTTTCGTCTGCTAGCAGATCCCAAACCAGGGAACTAGGAAGGGTTGTTTAACATTTTATGACTGTAAAATGGTGAATTTCTTCAGCATGAGGAAGCAACAGCAGTATCTAGAAATGTACAAGCAGAGAGACACCCAGAAATTACTGTGAATGCAAAATGAAAAAGATTTATTGCTCTTTCACAAGTACCTAACCTAAAAAGCCTCCAGTAGCTACAAAAAACTACCTTTTTTCTCAACTGTAGCTACAGCATCTCTTACATAACTACATAAAATCAAAATACAAGATTTGAATGTAGAAGTTTGAACAAACATTTATGAAAAAAGCTTAAAATCTGACACGTCACAAAAATGATGCCAAGTGCAGTAAGTACCATACTTAACCTACTTTGCCCTTCAGAATGTGCACTTTTTATTATAATTCTAATTTGGTCCACTGGGTGGATTGCTCCTCTTTTATCCACTAGGCTTGATCAAATCAGTGCAATAGAAGAACTGCTGATGCATGAAATGATAGGTCAATGTAACCTTGTCATGGAGTAATATCCCTGCAAATCACAGTAAGTAAATAAAACAATTCATTTTATGTGCTCTAGGTATTAGGCATAAATTATCAAAACCTGAAGCGGGAACATTTTTACTTGAAATATAATATATTGCTGCATACTACTATATGAAAAACTCATTTAAATAACTTCTTAACACACAGTAAGGGGAAAAACATTTACAAATAAATGGTGGTTGTAGTGGCCATTACCAAATCCCCTTCATCCACCACGGGACTTCCCCAGATCAGTATAACTGATTTCTTCTTACAGCCTTTGTACAATGAAGGCTTTCTAAAAACTTTTGGCATCAAGATGTGTCTTTCTTTTCTGGCCTTGTCCATTCCAGATGTCTCTAGAGTAAGTTCATCTAAACAGCAGGCACAGTACATTTAGCACAATTTTTACATAAAAGTTCTTTTTCTTTTTTTTTGCAATTTGTATTTTTTCATTTTTAATTAGTTTACCACAACAAAGTTAGCATTACATTGTTAAAGTTTCCATGTACTTAAAAAGAGATTTATCTGTGAGATGATTCATGATCATATAAGAAAATACTTTGCAAGACAAGTGTAAAGGTAGTAAAAAACTGAACTACCACACCAGCAGTCACATGCTAAGACATCATTCTATAAAATATATTGGAAACATTGATGTGTGATTTTATTCTCAACAGCGTTAGATGTTCTATAAGAATCTCTGCTGTGCATTGCTATTAATACAAAATCTTTGTTTAAAACTTTTAGAATAAGCAACACATATGTTTGTGTGAGCATATACATACATTTCTACAGACTAGGGTTGGTAAATACAACTTACGGGAGCTTACAAGGCTGGTGTTATGTAATTCTGAGAGTATATGCTCATCCTGTTTTTATGTAGCGACAGTAAAATGTAATTTAAACAAAATTTAAACAGTATTTCTAACTGGAGTTTTTAATCTTGAACAGTTTGCTGTATGTGACAACTGTATAGAGGACAAATTATGGGTACTACTCAGTATCTAAAGTGTGCTGAACTTCTGAGGTCGGTGGGGTTTTTTTCTTTCCTAAAATATCTTTAGGTAGTTTAGGGATACTTTTCTTAATTAAAAAGTGTTTAATTTTGTATACAAACACAAACTATTTTAAACTTCTGGGATCAGTGAATGGAAAAAACCTTACAGGATTACTTTATGCTAGACAATAAATGTTTAACATATGTATGTTATACATAACTGCATAGATTAACAAGAAAAAAATAGTGCAAAATAATTTTAAAGTCTGAAATATAGTGTTTATAGTTTTACATTTAACATGGGAAAGTGGTGTTGGAAACAGGTATTGAAAAGATTTCATTTTTCATTTAGGACATGAGAGAGAACACACTTGTGTTCTCATGATAGATACCTCAAGTAGGGTACTCTTGTCAGAGTGATTTTTCAGAAAGTGGATGTGTCAACTACACAATCTACACTGTAAAACCAAGAGACTATGCTACAATGCCATTATTAGTTTTAATCAGGGTCTGCCTGGCCACACGAAAGACAAGATACAAATATTAATAATATTTCTTAAAAAAATGAATAAAAATTTCAAAATAAAATATTAGATGTTAAAATATGCTACTTATGCTCTCATAATTAGCTTAATAACAAACACACTTTCCAATGTTTTAAGAAAAGACTTGGAAATTAGAAACTCTGCTTAAAAAGAACCCTACATTATCTGTAGTCACAGATAGCTCGTAAGAAAATACATCTGGACGGATCACTTCTGGCATTCCAAAACCCTGAAAAATAAAATAAAACATAAAGAAATAATTTTTAAACAAGTTTGGAGACCATATCCACTATAAAATCTAGTAGGGTTATCTGAAGGCTCCTATAAACAGAATCAGCTGGGTTTTCTTTAATCTTAGGCTGAAAGGGCCTATGACACAGTAGCCATATGCCAAAAAAAATATTAAGAACATTCAACAAAAATATCTGCAACTTCTCTGCATCAAAAATAAAGCTATCTATTTTGTGGTCAGTCTTCAGGATATATGCATGTTCCTCTAGCATACAGATCAGAAGCTCAGAAGCTCAATAACAAAAAGCAGAATTCCTCAAAACGCAGTAGCTGTGCATCCTTGAAAGCAACAGACCAATGTCTTTCTGCTCTCCTTGCCAGCACTGGCATTTACAAACATTTTCCCCTTGCCGCTATCTCTCTTTGAAGCAGCCAAAGCAAGTCGTATTTTGTTGCTGGGTTTTGGTCTCCCCTCACAGAAGGCACACAGCTGTCAGGGAAGCATGATGTTATATGTTTGAATTCCATTGTAGGGCCAGACCCTGCTCCCTTAAAAGTCAGAGAAAGTTTTTCCTTTGACTTAATTAGGAGCAGAAAGAGGTCTTGAATAGCAAGTTTCTTCAGTAATGTGTGTATTGCCATGGAGTAAAGTGACAGGCAGAAAATGGTGCTACCACCTGAGGAAGTAGCCAAAATTCAGACATCTCATTGACACCCCAGATGCAATCCTACTTACTCTTCCGACCACGGATGGAAAGGGCCACTGAAATAACCACAGCAGCACAGCACAGGTGATTAGCAAATTTCCCTATGGGTGCCTGTAAATATGGCTATACTTAAGAGTTGCTCCACATGCTACAAGGCCTCTCCCAGAGCACCGAGAGCAGGCAGCACCACCGCATGGCTGCCACTCTTACCCTTGCCTCATTCTCACCTGCTGTTACTTTTTGTACCCTGGGAACCGATGAGACCGAGTACTCCCTCCTGCTCCCCCAGGTAGGTTATTTTTCAGTTGACTCATACCAGCTGGATCTGGTTCAAAGACACATTGCAGGGGCTGGTTCAAGAATAGGAACAAACAGCTCAAACAGAAGGAGGGAATTAAAAAAGGGGGAAGTAACTACTTACCCTGGCCTAAGTAGCGCAGACTCTGAATGTTGAACCGCGTCTCTTGCGACAAACATCTGTCACTTGAAGCATACACCTGAAACTCACCAGATCTTGTACGTTGTCTTGGGAATATATAGGTAAGACCATAAAAACGTGTTAGGAAATTTATCCTGAGAGAAATAAAGTATCAGAAGGGCTATCACCTTTCAGATGTTAACATCTTAATCATTTTTATCTTTCTGTATGATGCAATAAAGGGACAAGATAAAAGTCAGGACTATCTGCTTGTCAAATCACATTTTATTCTTTAAATTAAATCAGCTTTCATGTTATACAGGCATATAAAAAGGTTTGGAAAGCAGTAAACCCATATATTTTAACGCACTTCTTCAACTCCAAAGTTTTCCACTGATGGGAGAAAAGCTTCTCTAGACTTCGCATACCATGCTTCAGCCTACAGTGACATTTTGCAGTCCAAGGACAAGCTGTGAGGAACACAGCTCTGAATGGAAATGCTGGCACGTATCTGACCTTCAGAAACAACAAACTAAGACAACGCCGGAGCTTACACCACTGCAGTGAAAGACGAGCAAGCCATGGTACAGAAATAAAAGCCAGGAGCCTCGATACCAAGTGACTTTTTTTTGAAAAAACATTGAGGGACTTGGACCTACGGTTCTGTGAAATGAGTTTCAATTTGCCGCAACAAGGTCTAAAACGTGCCTCATGTTCCCGTCAGGTTTATTTTCTCAAGTCCCCACAGCTGCCATCCGTCCCGGAGCAGAGCGGGGCGAGCCCACCTGAGGGAACGGCGCCTCCAGCGGCAGCGCCGCCGCCGCCCTGACACC